ACCACACTAAAGAAGGAATTCAAAGAGAAAAGATCAGATATACATGTCCTAAAGAAAAATATTTTCTTTTAAAAAACAGCTTAAAATTATTTTGGGGGTAGGGCAAAGAGCAACCAATTTAATCCCAAACTCTTGAAGCCCGACAGCTTCCCTACTTACATGATAAGTGTATAATGTCATTAAATGCTTGGTAAGCAAAGAAGCAACAGGCAGTCTGATTAAAAACCGCTCCAAAAAAACATATTAGGAGTTCCTAAATCCTAATATTAGAAGTTCCTGAAAACATATGAGGACTCCCTAGCTCCTAAAGGAGTTTCTTTGGAGATCAGGCCATCTGCTTGAGGGTGGCTGTTGGCATGTCCAATGCAATAGATAAATATTGCTGCAATCCAGTATTAACTACAGCTAAGGATGCTCTTCTCGCTGAGCGAACGAATGAACAAATAAACAACAAAAGGCACAGAATATCAGAGCGTATAAAGGTAACAAAACCCCCCACAGACTTGCTGGGTACCAGAAACCTCCTACTACTTTTTACTACATCTCCTACTACTTTTAACTACTAATTTGTATTTTGCAGTACAAATGCAGCAACACTCTCTGGAGAGAAGCTAGCAAATCTTGCATCTGCAAGATAAACAGTGGCGTGAGCCATTCTCGATCATAATACAGAAGAAGAACAGAAGGTAGATCCTTTTATTATCTTAACAACATCAGGGAGGTTGGGAAAGAGATACAGAGAAAGACAACAGTAAGAATAGGAAAATACATGTAAAAATGCTTATTAAATATACTTGTAAGAGTAGGCGGACAAAGAAATCCCCTGCCAGGTACTTTCACTTAAGAGTTCACAGCTGGCAACTCCCAATGATCCGGGAACCAATAGGGAAGATACAAATCCATGGCTTGACTAAGGTGTTTTCAGCTTTGAACCACCAACATAGCTGCAGAATGCTTCCATAAATGAGTGGTCCTTTTTTAATTCAGTTAAAATTTGGATTTCCAATAGGGAAGAGAAAGGACAACTTTATTCTATAAACAGAACAGCAGCCTTCTATTTAGTCTTCTCAATTACACGTTCCAAATTCCTCATGTTTTTCCATTTATTAAAGCTACTCTACAACAAGCAACATAAAGATATTATGAAATAGATTAGGGAAGAGCAAGATCCACCAGGTCTTAGAATCTTGACTCCTCTCTTTGCAACGCTGTGAATTATTGAACCTCGTCTCTGTCACTTTGGTTGCCATTACACCATGAAACGGGTGAAATACAAAGCAATGGTTACTCTAGTCTCTCCTGACAACTAGTTTCCATCCCAAACTAGGCAACTAAGCGAAATTCAGTTGCTAGATTCGATCTTTCATTTTCACCTGAAATTTCTTTGACTGTTAATGGGAAAGGAGTAAAAAAGGCTCACAATGGACAACCCAGACAGCTATAATAGTGCTATAAAGATGTTAAAGTTCAATATCCCACAGAATATATAAGTGTTCTTGTGGTCGCCTAAGGCAACTGATTTAGGCACATCAGCAAATCCACCTACAAGAGGATCCCATGACCCAAGTACAAGACAGGCAGCAGTTTTACTGTGGAGAGGATCTGTTATGAGAAAGCCCAGAAGAAGATGCACCCAAGGACATATCTTCACTGTTGTTGCTGGTATATTATGAGAGGAGATGGACAAAAGAGCAGGTGTTGCCGGTATATTATGAGAGAGCAGACACCGGTAGAAGACAAAGATAAGGACCTCTTCCGTATCTTTGTGGAACTGGCTGGAGCAGGACAGCAGAACCAAAACAGGACCTACTGAGTCAAAATGAAGCCATATACGGAAGTGACTTCCGGGAAGACGACCACCAGGGGGTCTCAAAAGACCACCAGAGACCACCAAAGGGACAGAGGGTGCCTGCGTGTGAGGATGGGGTATATTGTAACTAGTTCCAGGAAACGGAATGAATATGTATGATCATTTCCTGGAATTTAATGCATATGTATAAAATAAATGTATAAATAAAAAGTTTTAGCAAACACACCTTGGGGATGCACGATAGGTGGAGCTCTCCCCCGTGCACCCAGCGCTGCAATAAAGTGAATGCCTGCTTCGTAATACTATATTGGTGTTAAGAGGTTTATKCCCAGTTTTCGGTGACAGATCCAGTTGAGTCCCGATGACAAAATAAGAATCCAGAGCTACTCCAATGTGAACTACACACACACACTGGAGGTCTTAATCCTCTTGTAAATAGAGCACTTGTCCCTCCTATATATACCAGACCACCAGTGGTTTTTAAAACAAAGGTGTAAGCAAAGAAGAGTACTTGCTGTCTCTATAAAGATGGGCTATCAGTAATCGCAAATGGTTCATCATTAAAAAGTTAGTGGAAAGGGTGGGATGGGAGAAGAACTATTGGCGTAGCCTTCAGCTCTAAGGCGACTTGCTCTCGTTGTTCTGATGATTACACTTAACCAATTGCTTTTCAAAATGTATCTGGACATTTTAGTGACTTGCATGCAGTTTTGCCACTCCTTCCTCTCTTTTCTTGCCCGTTTTGCCTGCATTGCAGGGAAGTGAGGCGATTCCTTCTTCTTTCACCCAGACTCTAGCAACATCAAGCTGCAGCACAAAAGATTTTCTATTTCTAAAATGTACTCCTCTGAACACAGCTAAACCACATTTTCAAACGCTTTACAAATCCACATCACTTTGGACAGATTTCTTGGGAATACCGTTCAGACTCGAAAGGCATGGGATATACAAGATATTACGTCAATTCTCTTTTATGTAAGAATAAGATTTGCAGAATAAATCCTTGAATTTAGAAAACAGTGCTTGTTAATTGCAAAAGTGATACATATCCAGACAAGAACTCCCAAAGGCTAGCAGAGATATAGACTTTTAAAAGGAAATGTATCAACACCGGATTAAAAGTATAGCTAAACTCATCAGCAAATGTATTGTAGTTTTTTTTTGATTTTTTTTCCTCCAAAATGTGTATTTATGTCTATCTGTGCAAAACAGATTCTTGATGTTTCCCCATCCAGGCTAAGGTTTTTCAAACACGGTAAGGGGTTTTGGCTGAACATCAATATATGAAATTACTTTAGAACATTTCGAAGTCTATGGAGTCACAGCCATTTTCAAATGGAGTTAAACGACAACAGGACCTTTTCTTCATTAGCTTAGGTAAACATAGCATGGGCAAGGACAGGTTGCAGTGACTCAGGCCCTTCTCCAGACGATGGGACAAGAAGAAATGGCCTCAAGTTGTACCAGGAAAGGTTCAGGTTGGATATCAGGAAGAACTTCTCCATGGAAAGAGTGGTGAAGCAGTGGAACAGGCTGCCCAGGGAAATGGTGGAGGCCCCATCCCTGGCAGTGTTCAAGAAACGTGTAGATGTGGCACCTGGGGATATGGGTTAACGGGCACGGTGGGGATGGGGTTACAGTTGGACTTGATCTTGAAGGTCTTCTCCAACCATCAAGACTCCAGGATTCTATGAAAGGTCAAATCCACTAATTTCCCAAGATTTTAAGATACATAGCAGATACTTACAGAAGTAAGCAAAACAAGCTGCTATCAGAAAAGAAAAACATCTACTCCGCCCTCAACTCTCTCAAACGTTAAAGCCTAAGACATGTGTGCAGTTAAATTTATCAGCATTTTCTCATAATTTTGTTAATACTTTCCAGAACAGCTGCATAAAAGTTATTTCTTCAAGTCTGCAGAAGGAAAGACTTATGACACCTTATAACGTGTCACAGCATATTTGGTCACCCCAAAAGATTGTAGATTTCATGCCTCTTTTCACTCTTCCCAATAAAATTCGCAAGCATGTGTTGGCAATAAATATTGTTCTACACTGTGCTTATTGTAATTTAGTTTGAAATAAAAAACTTTTTCTCTTTACGAGCTTTTACTTCCCCCATTCAAGCATCCCCAGCACAAAACTGATTTTCTTGTTTTTCAATATAGCCTCGTTTGAGGAGAGGACGCTAATTCTCCCAAACTCCATTTTGCACACAGTCTTACGTTCACCCGACAAATAATTTTATTTTTGAGCTATTCCCACACCACAGGAATCACCTCTTCCCAAGCTCCCTCAACTTCCCGTTTTTCCTGCCGCACGGATTCCTTTTCCGTTACCGCTTCCCTCGCAGCAGCAGCAGGGCTCAGGCCGGGCTGCCGCGCGCCCGCCAGGCTCCCGGCTGAAGGGAAGCGCGGAGCGCGGCCGCGAAACGGCTCCGCAGGGGCCACCAGGGACGAGCGCGGCGGGACGAGACGCCATCCGCGCAGCCCCCCGACAGCCGCCCGCTATAGGCAGCGCTATAGGGTGCGCTATAGGGTGCGCCGCGCCGCCGCCCGCAGGACCCGCTGCCAAGAGACCCCGCGCAGGCGCCCCGTGCCCGACCCCCGCCCGCCACCACC